TTTAAAGAATATTGCAAACATTATTATCGAAGTTTCACTCCAAAAATCTTTATGCAAAGCTCAACAAATAAACTACGCAGTGTACTTTTTTATAATCTCAATAACTATAAAACCTCAAGAGTCTAGACTCTAGACAGACGCACCCTAAAATAGTAAATTTTGCAAAACACTATTAAATTTTGATTTAAATTCATCATAATACTAATCTAAACAATAGTTCTTCTTTTGTTTAATAAAATAAATATTCAAAATTGAAATGATTTAACCAATTTTTTTTTTATTCAAAATTGCATAATTAAATATTATAAATATTGTTAAAAAAAATTGGCAAAATTTATAGCTTTTTATTTGCTTATTGAACACATAAAATAAGACAAACAGATGAAAGATTTGCATAAAGCTTTAAATTCACATTTGACTTGGACGCTGTTTGGTTTTTTTGCAATTGACCCAATTTGCGAATTTAGTGGGGTCTTTAAAGTGTTAAGTTTGTTACCAACTTTGGATGGATTTGTTTTTTTTTTTTCGCTATGATTTTTCTTATTTTGCTCTAATTTTTTGTGTCTTGGAAAAAATAAAGTTTTGTGCACAAAAACTGTATAAAAAAAGAAGAGATGAGATAGAAATCTTTTGCGAAACCAATTTTTTAAACCAAACAAATATTTTTACGAAATTTAAAAATGTTTTTCGTGTAAATTGTTTTTCTATTTTTTTTTTCCTATGTTATATTTACAGTTATTTTTTTTTTTTTTTTCGTTATTATAAAGTCCGCAATTGTTTGTTTTGATCGAGACCGATATTGCAGGAAACAACTCTTAGGGTTACAAATGTCATGTGGTAAATGTTGTGTAGAGACAGACTTTTTTCTTATTTGCTTGCTAAAGAATAAGTTTTAGTTATTTGCATAAAAAACATTAATTAAGCTAAATGTAACAAAAAATAGAGTATGTTGCATGTATTATTTATTATATTGATCAAAGTTGCACAACTTCAGCTAAATGACAAATATTATAACATTTAATTCAACATCATTTGGGCCAGTATTTTCCATTTTCATGTCATAAATGTTGCACTTTTTGTAGGCATGCAAATGTAGGTCTATATAAACCATGTTTAGTTATAATATTCAAATCTGTGTCTATGTAGGCACTTTTACAATAATCATACGCATGTCTTACGTAACATATTCGTTCAATGTTTAGCCTTTTTAAAAAAAAAAATTCAATGGTTCGTTGGCTGCATAACCCTGTCATGTTAGAGTTAACAACTTGTATTGGAAAATTGTTATGAATTATCAATTTAGTTCAACCAAAATATAAAAAAAATTATGCGTGTAATAAGTATTTATAAGCAGGGTTGGATATGTGAAATGTCTTATACTGATATGTATACAATAATGTTGTTAAATTTATCCTATTTTGACGTTGAAAAATATAATCATATGGTCAGATCCCTGTAGTTTTTATCTATCTAGGTTTGTAGATATTAAATACTAACAACTTTTCCATTCCTGTTTCTTTTGGTAGCAAATATTTTCATAATTCAAATTTGTTTTAAATAAATAAAAAATGTAATTGTAAATTTTGACCCTACCTTTTTTCATGAAATTATCTCTAACATTTTTCATTTACATATTTGTCAATATTTCATTTGATCAAGTTGTTCTTTGACATATTCACGGCAGTTACTTTAAGTATTTATTAGTCTGTGTTTTTAATCTATGTAGGAAGGTCATTCTAAACATGGTACAATCCTTGAAACAGTGTTATATTCGAATGTTGAATCTTTTATTCTCACCCTACTCTAGTCATTTGTTTAAACTATCGTCTGGTCTATAGTCCAGAATATATCTATAGTTCAGTCTATAATCTAGTCTATAGTCTAGTCTAGTCTATAGTCTAGTCTATAATCTAGTCTATAGTCTAGTCTATAGTCTAGTCTAGTCTATAGTCTAGTCTAATCTATAGTCTAGTCTAGTCTATAGTCTAGTCTATAGTCTATAGTCTAGTCTATAGTCTAGTCTAGTCTATATCTATAGTCTATAGTCTAGTCTATAGTCTAGTCTATAGTCTAGTCTATAGTCTAATCTATAGTCTAGTCTATAGTCTAATCTATAGTCTAGTCTATAGTCTAGTCTATAGTCTAGTCTAGTCTATAGTCTAGTCTAGTCTATAGTCTAGTCTAGTCTATAGTCTAGTCTATAGTCTAGTCTATAGTCTAGTCTATAGTCTAGTCTATAGTCTAGTCTATAGTCTAGTCTATAGTCTAGTCTATAGTCTAGTCTATAGTCTAGTCTATAGTCTAGTCTATAGTCTAGTCTATAGTCTAGTCTATAGTCTAGTCTATAGTCTAGTCTATAGTCTAGTCTATAGTCTAGTCTATAGTCTAGTCTATAGTCTAGTCTATAGTCTAGTCTATAGTCTAGTCTATAGTCTAGTCTATAGTCTAGTCTATAGTCTAGTCTATAGTCTAGTCTATAGTCTAGTCTATAGTCTAGTCTATAGTCTAGTCTATAGTCTAGTCTATAGTCTAGTCTATAGTCTAGTCTAGTCTAGTCTATAGTCTAGTCTATAGTCTAGTCTATAGTCTAGTCTAGTCTATAGTCTAGTCTATAGTCTAGTCTATAGTCTAGTCTATAGTCTAGTCTATAGTCTAGTCTATAGTCTAGTCTATAGTCTAGTCTATAGTCTAGTCTATAGTCTAGTCTATAGTCTAGTCTATAGTCTAGTCTATAGTCTAGTCTATAGTCTAGTCTATAGTCTAGTCTATAGTCTAGTCTATAGTCTAGTCTATAGTCTAGTCTATAGTCTAGTCTATAGTCTAGTCTATAGTCTAGTCTATAGTCTAGTCTATAGTCTAGTCTATAGTCTAGTCTATAGTCTAGTCTATAGTCTAGTCTATAGTCTAGTCTATAGTCTAGTCTATAGTCTAGTCTATAGTCTAGTCTATAGTCTAGTCTATAGTCTAGTCTATAGTCTAGTCTATAGTCTAGTCTATAGTCTAGTCTATAGTCTAGTCTATAGCCTAGTCTATAGTCTAGTCTATAGTCTAGTCTATAGTATAGTCTATAGTCTAGTCTATAGTATAGTCTATAGTATAGTCTAGTCTATAGTCTAGTCTATAGTCTAGTCTATAGTCTAGTCTATAGTATAGTCTAGTATATAGTCTAGTCTATAGTGTAGTCTATAGTGTAGTCTATAGTCTAGTCTATAGTCTAGTCTATAGTCTAGTCTATAGTCTAGTCTATAGTCTAGTCTATAGTCTAGTCTATAGTATAGTCTACAGTCTAGCCTATGTTCTAGTCTATGTTCTAGCCTATGTTCTAGTCTATGTTCCAGTCTATGTTCTGGTCTATAGTTTAGCCTATAGTCTAGTGAATAGTCTAGTCTACAGTCTAGTCTAGAGTCTAGTCTATAGTCTAGTCTATAGTCTAGTCTATAGTCTAGTTTATAGTCTAGTCTATAGTCTAGTCTATAGTCTAGTCTATAGTCTAGTCTATAGTCTAGTCTATAGTCTAGTCTATAGTCTAGTCTATAGTCTAGTCTATAGTCTAGTCTATAGTCTAGTCTATAGTATAGTCTATAGTCTAGTCTATAGTCTAGTCTATAGTATAGTCTATAGTCTAGTCTATAGTCTAGTCTACAGTCTAGCCTATGTTCTAGTCTATGTTCTAGTCTATGTTCTAGTCTATGTTCTGGTCTATAGTTTAGCCTATAGTCTAGTCAATAGTCTAGTCTACAGTCTAGACAATGTTTTAGTCTATTATAGTCTTTTCTATAGTCTATGCTATAGCCTAGTGTATAGTCTAGTCAATAGTCTAGCATATAGTATAGTATATAGTCTAGTCTATAATCTGGTCTATAGTCTAGTCTATAGTCTTGGCTATAATCTTGGCTATAGTGAAGTCTATAGTTTAGTCTATAGTCTAGTCTATAATCTAGTATATAGTCTAATATATAGTCTAGTTTATAATTTAGTGTAATCTACAATCGAGTCTATAGCCTACTCTGTAGCCTAGTCCATTGTATAGTCTATAGTCTAGCCTAGTCTACTTTTCTCTTGCTTTGCAGTAAAAACAAACTTCTATCCAATATTTTTCTTAAATAATTTAATACGATTGATGTGACCTCTTCACCTCTTGTAATGGAAATGACCAATGTGTAGGAAAAGATGTCTAATTGAAAACATCTTCAATTAAAATCTTCTTATATTTAAAATTACCACTTCCAACATAATTTGCTATGTCTTTATCTTGTTATACAAATCTTATCTTACTATTTCTTACAACATTATTAACATAAATATCTAATAAATTTAAAATTTAATTTATTCAAACACGTGCTAAACTGCCATCGAAAAACACAACACTTTAATCAACGGCCACCTACTAAAAACAGTCATTATAAATGTCTCAATGACTTCTATGAGTAAATAAGCGTTAAGAGTCAATTTTTCTAATCGAGTATCATTAAAAATGAATGTTTAGATTATAATTAATTAACAAACTTAGCAGTAATAACAAAAAATTACAGCGCCAGAAAAGAATAACAAATTTTAATAATTATGTTAGGGTATTAAAACAAAAAATAAAAAGATCTTAAAAAATATTTTTACAAAGGGCTGCCACATAATTTATACTAAACGCTACTCTAGACCATAGGTTTCCGATTTCTGATCTAGAACTAAATATAAAACTAAATCTGTTGGCTCACCCTAAAACTACGAATCTTATCGGTTTGTCATTAAAAATTTTGTTCCACAAAAGCAGTAACAAATGGGCGTTATTAAAAAAAATAAAATCAATTGCAACGAAAAACTGTTGAAAATATGTTTCACAAAATGTTTACTGCAAACAGTTGCAGTAAATTATTAAAACATAAAAAAAATGTTGTTAATGAACTTATAAATTAAAGCATTTAATATAATTTGACTATTTTTTTTAATATTCAGTGAATACTGCCTATAAATATTAAACTTTAATGTTTCTGGTTTCTTTTCAGATTCTTGGCTAAAACAAGTTGTTTAAAAGTGTTGCTGTCTAAAACAAACGAGATCCATAACACTTTTCACACACTTTAAACAGCAATAGCCTGTGGTTCAATAACCGTTTTTATGTGATTTCCATAAGATTAAACAAAATTTTACATATTCATTCACACTCATATATACTATTTATACATAACAGTATAAGCATATGATAAACGGCCAACATTATAAATAATATTTATAATGCAACAGCATTTGCCGGCAAAGAGCAGTAGTTGCCGCAGAGCAACATTTTCAAATCTACTACCGTGTCTAAAAATTAATCATAATAAACGTAAACATAAATGTAGTGGAAACAATATTATGTTTACATTGGCTTTCATAATCGTAGCTACACTCTTGAACTTGTGCAGCGCTGGTGTGCCACACAATAATCATCATCGTTTTCTAGAAGCGGCACAACGATCATCATCATCGTTACAATTGGCTAAACAATGGAAACTGTTTTCGTATAACTTCCTGTCGCATGCCCCCGTGAATGATATGAATTTCTTTAATCCATCAAATATCTTGGCAACTGGTCTTGTTATAACGGAGGATCGTTTCTTTATTGCCACACCAAAGTTATTCTCTGGTGTACCATCAACATTGAATTGGATTTCAAGATCAGACTATGAAGATTCACCGGTTTTACAGGTTGGTGTGGTTATTATTACTTTTGCTTTTTTTATTTATTGTTTATAGTAGGAGGGTTTATAAGTTGCATTGTAATACAAATATAAGGAAGTTGATTATTAAGATTCTTATAAACGACATTCCCCAGACTTTTATGCGTCTCAAACTTTTCTAAAATTTATAAACGCTTCACTTAGTCAAGTTCCTGTGTGATAACCGAATCCGTTTGAATTGTTGAACCAATCTATCTTTTATTGTATTTTCATCTTATCACTCTCGTGAGTGCTATATCGGAACCACAGATCTGCTTCAGTCTTAAAAGTTTCTAAATCTGTATCAATATCGTTCTGTAAGTTAAAAGCATCTGTTATCAACAAAAGTATAAAATTTTCGTTGTATAGTTGCTATAAACCCTCCTGCATTAGGGATTTCGGAAGTTATATTTTAATCTTAAATTTGTTAGATGTTACAGAATATAATCTAATTGGAGTCGTCCTTATTAACTGCTTCATCCATTTCATGAAATAAACTTTTTACCGGACCAGATTTTCATAAGGTCGCGCTATGACTAGCAGTTGCTGGTCCGAAAGAAGTTTACCAAGGAGTCTTTTATCGTCATACCGATAGACTCGTAGTCTTAGTTTCACATATATCTTCCTAAGCATCGAACTGGTTCTTAATGACCACTATCGTTCCTACGACAATTGGATCTCCTCTCCGGAACGACCCTATTCTCAATCGTCCAAAGATTGTCAACTCAGCAACAGCTGTATCAACTGGAAGTTTTTTCTCCAGGGAAGAACGTCCAGTCGCAGCCAATCTGTTACAACAACATAATGACCACAATATTTCTGCAATTTCTAACAGTTCAAAAAATTGTAAATTAGTCAGTTAAGATCTTTTTATACCCTTCACCTTCATGAGAATGGTCTACACTCTATATTTTCTTATAGATAGTGGATTCGATTATGCTATGTCCGCCTTATCGTATGTATGTCTCTTCGTCTATATCTTTGTTGAAATCAATTTTCTGAAGACCCCAGATATCTTCGGGATCCAGATAATTCTGTCACACATGCTTTCTATTCGAAATCAGCAATATTCATTCATAAATAACGGAGATATGAGCAAAAATTTGAGAGAACCTATGAAATTTTTGTGCATGCTTGATTATTGTGTTATGTTATTGTTAAAATCAGGGATGTAAAATCTGTGTATGAGATTAGGAAAAAAATATATTTTTAAAAAATACCAAAAATATTTTAATCAAACATTTCTTACACTTTTCTTCACCCACAGGCCTATCCCGACTGGTCTTTCGCCACTACCGGACGTACCGATTTCAATTGCAGTGATTTAGTTTTAATTTCCGTCTATCGTCTTCGTTTAGATTCCTGTAATCGTTTATGGGTTCTAGATGCTGGTATCTCACGTTCCCTCGAAGATTACGAAAAGACTTGTCCACCGAAAATATTAGTCTTCGATTTAAAAACCAATCAAGTGGTAAGGCGCATAGATTTTCCTCAAGGTGTGTTGAGAGGCGAATCTCTATTTACCAATTTGATTATAGATGAAACCACCGCTAAGGCGGGAACTTGTGATGATGTTTTTGTTTATATATCGGATACCGTAGAACCAGGTAAGTGTAATACTTATTATGTATCAGTGTAAGTTGTTTTGTATACGAATGCTTTGTGTAGTTTGTTTGTTTGTTTTATTAAATATATATTTGTTGCTCAAGATTCACACGCTATTAGATTGTCATTTGCGCAATATTTTATTATGTATCTTTTTACATTTTGTTATTGTTTATTGTAGTTTTAATTACTTGTGAGTATTTTTGCCGGCACTTTTTGGCAATCAAAACAATATTCTTTACCACACTTCACAAGAGACCAATTGCTTACTCAAGCAGCAACTTATTTGCGTGGTTTTATTGGATATTTTAGTACCCTATTATAAGAGAAGAGATATTTTAAGTTTTTTATTTAAAAACTCTCATAATTTTTATAAATTAATAGAATACATTATAAACTTCTTTATTCTTAGAGAACAGACATTTCAATAGTTTGACAATTCCCCTTATAATACAATCCAACATCGTCTTTATAATACTTAACAACATCTATATCATGTATTTTAAATTTTGCAAGACCATACCTGCTAAATGTGTAGCATGTTACCAAGTCGTTGTTATACATAATCATTTTTTAATTTAGTTTATTGATTATTTGTTTATTTTATTTATACACCAAGTAGTTGTTGCTTTTTTTAAGTCTTATTAATAGACCAATTTCCATTTAATTAAAATTCTTATTAAACCATTTGGCAACAAATGATTTGATATTGAAAGTTAAATTTATAGTTTAGTTTCTTGGTTAATGAACATTTAAATTATTCAATTATTTATTAGTTTTTAAAGTTAATAGCAAAATTAATAGGCTGTTTAATTAAATAAACAAATATTTATTATAATAAATAAATATTAACAAGTTTTTTTTTGTATTAAAAGTATTATTTTTGTAAAAATGAAACAGAAGGAAGATTTTGTGTAAAAAGAAAAATTTATCAAAAATTTTCTATAGAAATAAAATTTATCGAAATTGTTATTAAAAGACAAATTGATCGACATTTTATCGAAATTTGTTTAATAAAAAGAAAATTTATAATTATGTACTTAACAACATTTACTTTTTATTAGGTATTGTGGTCTATGACAGTATACGTGATACAACCTGGAGAGTTTCCCATCCGGCCATGTATCCAGATCCTGATTTTGCACAAGCTGAGATACTCAATGATCGTTTTGTATTAATGGATGGCATAGTGGGTATAACATTTGATGCCAAAAAGGGATTAATTTATTTCCAGCCTTTCGCCACTGACAGGTAAACACGAAACTGCAGAGAATCTATTTGAATTTTAAAACTAAAATATATTTTTCTTTAATTTTCACAGAATTTTTTCCGTTACCCGTGAAGTTTTAAGAGCTGGACCCATTGCCATTAACCAAGTTCTGCCCGTAAAGTTGGTGGGTAAGAAATCATCACAAGGTATTGGTATAGCAGTAACAGATGATGGCACATTAATCTTTGGTCCTTCGACTGAAACTGCTATAGCTACCTGGAATCCTAATACAAATGAACAACATATTTTGGCTCAAGATAAAGATCATTTACAATTCCTTTCCGACATTACTCTGTCACCACATGATCCTGGTTATGTTTATGCTATAGCTTCTAAATTCCATAGATTCTTTTTGAAAAATCTCAATGTGGAGGAAGTAAATAATCGTATTATTAGAATACCCTTACCAGGCTATGCACCCACCCTGCCCGCTATACAGCCTTCGCCATATGCTCTTAAACCTTATAGCATACAAAGTAATCTCAATACCTATTACCAGCTGACCAACTCCCTACAGCCGAAATTAACCAATGCAGCTACATATTTTAATAGACCGGCTGCCAGCAGTAGTCATCCTTACAGTTTTGAAAATGCTGGCATTATCAATTATTCCGTTAAGAATCCTTTTACCGCCCTCAATCAGGGAGAAACATTCCCTCCCCGTAAAGAACTGCGCAATCAGGATAAATATTCATTTCTGGAAAGTTTAGCAACAATACCTTCAGCAGGACGTGCGTTGCCACCAGATCCCTCTTCATTATTAAATCTACATCCTAATGGTGCCTCAGATTATTATTATTCCCGTCCGGCACGCAGTGCTAATAAAGAAACAGAAAATGTAAGTGATCCGCAAAAAAAGTAATAGAGGAAGAATAGTGTTTTTCTGTATGTTTCTTCATTTAGTTTCTGTTTCTGGAGTGTAAATTTATTTTTGGCATAGTGTGTGTAGTAACTAAAGTGCAATTTGGAGTGTAAATTTATTTTTGGCATAGAGTGTAGTAACTAAAGTGCAATTATATATACGTAAATACAAAACATATTTTTTGTTAAATTAAGTGAAAATATTTGCATATTTTAAGGCAGTTGTTATTGAGAAAAAAGTACGAAAATACAAAACGATATGTAAATATTTTATGTACGATGTAAGTGTGTGTAAATAAATTATTTAGAAATAAAAATATTTTTTAGAAAAAAAAATAAAATAAATATGTCTGGTCCCGTAATCGTCAGTTTTGCAGATCAAACAGTAAAGTGCATTGAAATATTAATACGAGAACGAGTTTTTGTAAAAACCTGCAACTAGACGAGTACGAGTGGAAGACATTTTGCGTGATTCATTGTGTGTTGGACCTTAATAACTAACTAACTAATTAACTAACTAACTAACTAACTAACTAACTAACTAACTAACTAACTAACTAACTAACTAACTAACTAACTAACTAACTAACTAACTAACTACTAACTAACTAACTAACTAACTAACTACTAACTAACTACTACTAACTAACTAACTAACTACTAACTAACTAACTACTAACTAACTAACTAACTAACTAACTAACTAACTAACTACTAACTAACTACTAACTAACTAACTAACTAACTAACTAACTAACTAACTAACTACTAACTAACTAACTAACTAACTAACTAACTAACTAACTAACTAACTAACTAACTAACTAACTACTACTAACTAACTAACTAACTAACTAACTAACTACTAACTAACTAACTACTAACTAACTAACTAACTAACTAACTAACTAACTACTACTAACTAACTAACTAACTAACTAACTAACTAACAACTAACTAACTAACTAACTAACTACTAACTAACTACTAACTAACAACTAACTAACTAACTAACTAACTAACTACTAACTAACTAACTAACTACTAACTAACTACTAACTAACTAACTAACTAACTAACTAACTACTAACTAACTACTAACTAACTAACTAACTACTAACTACTAACTAACTAACGAACTAACTAACTAACTAACTAACTAACTAACTAACTACCTAACTAACTAACTAACTAACTAACTAACTAACTAACTAACTAACTAACTAACTAACTAACTACTAACAACTAACTAACTAACTAACTACTAACTAACTAACTAACTAACTAACTAACTAACTAACTACTAACTAACTAACTAACTAACTAACTAACTAACTAACTAACTAACTAACTAACTAACTAACTAACTAACTAACTAACTAACTAACTAACTAACTACTAACTACTACTAACTAACTAACTAACTAACTAACTAACTAACTACTAACTAACTAACTAACTAACTAACTAACTACTAACTAACTACTAACTAACTAACTACTAACTAACTAACTAACTAACTAACTAACTACTAACTAACTAACTAACTAACTAACTAACTAACTAACTAACTAACTAATACTACTAACTAACTACTAACTACTAACTAACTAACTAACTAACTAACTAACTAACTACACTAACTAACTAACTAACTAACTAACTAACTAACTAACTAACTAACTACTAACTAACCACTAACTAACTAACTAACTAACTAACTAACTAACTAACAACTAACTAACTAACTAACTAACTAACTAACTAACTACTACTAACTAACTAACTAACTAACTAACTAACTACTAACTAACTAACTAACTAACTAACTACTAACTAACTAACTACTAACTAACTAACACTAACTAACTAACTAACTACTAACTAACTACTAACTAACTAACTAACTAACTAACTACTAACTAACTAACTAACTAACTAACTAACTAAACGAACTAACTAACTAACGACTAACTAACTAACTAACTAACTAACTAACTAACTAACTACCGAACTAACTAACTAACTAACTAAACTAACTAACTAACTAACTAACTAACTAACTAACTACTAACTAACTAACTAACTAACGACTACTACTAACGACTAACTAACTACTAACTAACTAACTAACTACTACTAACTAACTACTAACTAACAACTAACTAACTAACTAACTAACTAACTAACTAACTAACTAACTACTAACAACCTAACTTACTAACTAACTAACTAATTAACTAATAACAAAAAAGCTTGATTGTTTTTCTGCTGAAACAAATCAAATTTTAAAATTTCCATCAAATACCAGGTGAACAGAATTCAGCAGCAGGTTACATTTTTTATTTTAAACAATAACATCGAAGTATGTGCATAACTTAAGGCTCTAGTAATATTTCAAATAGTTACGCATCTGAAATATCATTCTACAACCAAGAATAGCACAACTTAGGGAGGTCGCATAAAGTGAAATAGAAAAATTAATAAGTAGAGCCCTAATTTACGCTAAGTTTTTCTGAACAAAAAATAATTATCTACAAAAAACGTGCCTGCTTAAATTACTGAACGCCTGTTATTACAAAAAGCAAATTCAATTTACACATTTTGGATGAAAGTAGTGTGACTGACATCAACCAGAATATTTGTTTCCAGGGAAGAAACATGCATTTAATTAATAGAATTTTATGATGAAAGTAAAACATTTGCATATGTTTCAAAATGAAATTATGTACATGTTTTAATAGGATTTTAATATGGATTTTAATTAAAATTAAATATTTAAATTAGTAAATATTTATGTATATAGGCAAATAAAATAAATTGTATTAAATATATTTTCAAATTTAATAAGATGAGTAGCAGAAATTTTCTAAACATAATTAAACAATTTTGTTTATTTATACTGAAAACAATTTTGTTGTAGAAGATTTTTAACGACATATTAGTTGCTAGAGTAGTAAATGTCGATTACATTGTTTGTAAATGTAAATAATATTAAACTTAAATAATCAAATCTAATGTTTATTTACCCCTTTGAATTCAAAATATTTTTTATTTAATTAGAAATGTTAAGTTGTATTCATTTTAATTTGATGGATAAGTTTTGTGACATTTTTGAAATATTAAATTGCAACGACAACAGTATTTTAAATTTGTGTCTAGAATATCTGCATTATATTTTTTATAAAAAATTTTGTGTTAAATGAAAAAAATGCAAAAGCAGATGTTTTATATACATAAGTTCATTTTGAATAGAGTGATATGAGTGATTGATAAACCTGATTAAAACTAGTATTGGCACAAGAGAAAGTTGAATTTAGCAACAAAAAAATAAAGACAACAAAAATGAAAGTTTATACCGAAACGAACAAATAACACCCTTCACTTACAGAGTTAGAATAAGTACCAAGGATTATTATTAGGATATTACAGAAATATTATGATACCCTATATAGTATCATATAGAATAAGAAAAATACTGATTCTTTCCATCTTTTTTCGTGCACCATCCTACTTATATCATTAATTTAATATATATTTTTGTAATTAAGAATAGAAAATAACCCCAAAACAGGAAATTTAATTGTTTTTAATAAATGTTTTGTAAATTAGATTTTTGTTAATGTGGTAAACAAATTTAATAAATTATAGGATAAATTACCTTTTTTTAATAAATAATTATTTGTATACATATTTACATATAACGAAACAAACAATAAAAATTTGTGGTTTAACTTCGTAACGGTTTTGCGTCAGTATGTACAAAAACCTTATAAAAAAAACTAGAAATATTGATGACTAAAATTTGGTATTGTATATTTTTTCTTTATCGATTTGAAAAAATTTTGCGGATTTTTTTGCACTATTTAAAAATTTTGAACCATTGAGAAAAAAAAAGTGGGAAATTCACAAAATGTAAATGACGATAGTGACTTATCATGAATAATAATATGTTGAGTAGAAGATTAAAAAAAAACGGCCATTATAATGCATTATTAGTATTTATATTAATTTCTTTGTATGAACACATTATGACGTTTTTGATTTTATTTGTTTTAAGTGTTTTACAAAAGGCTCGTCATCTCATTTGCTCTGCAGTTCGGAATGACTGTTATAAAATAGTGATTTTAATTAACGCACAAAAATATTGGCCCTACACCCACCTTAAAGTATACCAATCGGCTTAGAATTTTTAAGTCGAATATGCCATGTTCGTCTGTCTGTCTATGTAAACTTTGTAATCTAAGTATAGGTCACATTTTTTTAAGATAATTCAATGAAATTCGGTATGCTTAACGCCCAAGGAAGACCATAGTTGATTTTGTTTGAAATTAGTCCATTATTTCGCCTAACACCCATACAATCGGACCCTCCGATTTAGCCTTTTAGCCCTTAGTTACGTATCTCGAATGAAAGTGGCACAATTAAGTTTTAATGATTTTTCACGTCAGTTAGTACATCTATCTATCTATCTATCTATCTATCTATCTATCTATCTATCTATCCATCTATCTATCTATCTATCTATCTATCTATCTATCTATCTATCTATCTATCTATCTATCTATCTATCTATCTATCTATCTATCTGTCTATCTATCTATCTATCTATCTATCTATCTATCTATCTATCTATCTATCTATCTATCTATCTATCTATCTATCTATCTATCTATCTATCTATCTATCTAACAATCTATCTATATATCTATCTATCTATCTATCTATCTATCTATCTATCTATCTATCTATCTATCTATCTATCTATCTATCTATCTATCTATCTATCTATCTATCTATCTATCTATCTATCTATCTATCTATCTATCTATCTATCTATCTATCTATCTATCTATCTATCTATCTATCTATCTATCTATCTATCTATCTATCTATCTATCTATCTATCTATCTATCTATCTATCTATCTATCTATCTATCTATCTATCTAACAATCTATCTATCTAACAATCTTTCTATCTATCTATCTATGACAAGGCTTTTAAATTATACATCACTTTTCTTTTTAAAATATATTCCAGTATGACAGAAGTTTCCTTAGAAACTTTTAAGATGCAGTTGCAGCAAATATTTTCAGAATCGTTAATTTCATCAGGTAAAACTTTTTCCAAAACGAACACGTGTTTTTTATCTTTTAAAATACATTTCTCAGTAATTTAACTATTTTAGAAAATTATTATTTCCCAGTATTAATTAAACTTCATTATAAAATACCAATCAATGTCTTATCAATAATTTTGTTTCCGAAAACTCGAAATTGGTAAAACCCTTTATTATATGTATTTTAGAATAATTTTAATAAAA